TTATGATTTTTATTATCTATATGACTGCATTTAATTATATTCTTCCAATTATTTTTATTGGGAAATATCACTCTGCATTTTCCTTTTTTTTTTTAACGTAATTTATATTATCTTTATTATTATATATATTTCAATTATTACGTAAGCGCAACAATTTTTTAAAAATTATACATTAATTAATAAGTTGTTAAGAGTATAATTAAGAAATTATTAATTATTCATTGATGTACATGACAATTATAGTGTGATAGAAAATTGGGGGCATAACGTTTCGGAACCACTATATCAATTTTATTTCAATTTGGAAATACAAAATTTTCAAAACTCTAGTAAAGAATCTTTGTTCCTTAATAATTGTATATAGAAAATTACATCATTATCGTTTTTCTTAAAATGGTTCATGAAAAAAATTTGAAGATCATATACAAACAACAACAACAACAACAACAACATTATTATTATTGTTATCCCATCCGAACAATATTATTATTAAGTTAAAATGTATAAAATTTTTTTAAACTTTGAGACAGTTGTATATAATTCTCTTCATCTTTAAACATTTAAAATTAATCATTGAACTTTTAATTTTATTTTTCAAAACCCTACCATTAATTAACTGATATTTTATTAATATAATTATTTTTATGTTAAATTAATATAATGCACATAACAATGGAAAAAATATTTTTGTTATCTTTCAACATAATTTAAGGAGGGAAAAAATTATAATTTTCACTTTTAACACACGATTCTCCCACTTTTTAAATTTGAGTAACATTGTTTGTGAGATTTTAATTTAAGAAAAAAATTATAATTTTATTATTCTTCATCAATTAAAACTTCCTTTTATATTAAATTGAAAATTATCTAAAAGCTATCATTAGTGAGAATCATATAAATAAAAATTTATCCTTTAATATAAAAAACTATGATATTTTACAAGTTATTTTTTAAAAAATCAATACAAATTACTAATAACAAAAAATATCTTATTCTAAAGTATCACACATTCCATTTGTAACATGCTAGTAATTTTTTTGTTTAAATAAGTATTGAAAATTTCATTCAAAAGAGAAAACAATAGTTACAAACAAATAAGAGTACAAAAAATATAAACAAAGTAAATGATAAAATCTATATGACTCTTATCAATAATAGTTTTTAGATATTTTTACTTTCATTTGTCTAATATAAAAGGCTATTTTAATTAACAAAGAATAATAAAATTATAATTTTTCTCTTAAATTGTTTTACCCTACCCATAAATAATGAGAATAATGTTGCTTAACTAAAAAAAATAAAGAATATTGTCATGTGTGTTAAAAGTAAAGATTATAATTTTACTCCTCCTTATATTATGCTGAGAAATAAAAAAAATTATGTCATGTGCCCTAGATATTGATATTGTATTAATATGATATGACAGCAAGTATATTAATAAAATAACAATTAATTAACTTAAGGGGAATTGAAAATGTAATTAAAAGTTGAGGAGTTATTTTTAAATGTTAAAAGGTGAGAGGTCATATACAACAGCTTTAAAATTTAAGAAGGTTTCATGTATTTTAACATCATCATCATCATCATTTGCAATTTGCAAAATATGAATGTCCAGTTGTTGCAACCAATATTTCCAAGAAAAAATGACAAAAAAAATACCTTTGAAATACCAAATGACAATCAAATACTGTGCATTTTAATGATTATTATCTAGCTCTTAGAGATCTCTTTGTCAACCCCTATGAAAAAAAATAACCAAACCAAATTGTCTTTCTCCCTTCTCTTCCCTTTCTCCCTCTACAATATTCATCTGAGAAATTGGAGGTGTAATACTAGATTAGTGATTCTAAGGTGAGAATCATTTGCTTCATCTTCGTAGTTTTGATTCCTCCTTCCTCAGATTTTACACTCATTGCAACTAACGTGTCTTGAATTGATGAAGATCATGGAAGGTTGCTGGACACCCACCCATGGCAGCTGCTAGATATTGAAGTCGGCAATGAGCCAGACGCCCCAAGAAGAAGAGAACCTCGCTGTCAAAGGAGCACTACTTTCATCCTCTTGATCTTGAGCTTGTATTTTTAGTTCCACAGCCACCTCCAACTACGTTTACTTCATTCTAACTTCGCACTTGTTTCTAATTATATTTTTTGTAATCGTAAATGTTATCTGGAGAGCATGTTTTTTATTGAACAAATGATTCCAGTTTGTATGTGTAACTGATTTGTGAGAGGATAATATAGCCTAACCTCATGGTAGTACTCTCTTATTGTAACAAGGTCAATTGCTTTTGCCTATCAATGCTAAATTTTTTGTTATGGAACACACGAAGAGTAACAATATGTGTCCTCTAGAAAATGAGGATAAAAAAGAGCCTTCTTCTAATTTCTTTTTTATTTTAATCTTATCTTTTCAAATTGGCAAAGGAAATTGGCAAGAGATTGCTTTCGGTGGTGCGGACCAAATTAGTGATTCTGAGGTGAGAATCATTTGCTTTGTCTTTGTAGTTCAGGTTCCTCCTTCATCAGATACTGTAGAGGGAGAGAAAGGAAAAGAGAAGGAAGAGGACAATTGGGTCTGGCAATTTTTTTCAAAGGGATGTAATAGTATGTTTCACATTAAAATTAATTGACAAACAAGTACCGAGGGACTAAAAAATAATTATCATATTTTGCAGTATGTAATTATCATTTTAATATTTTGAAGGTATTTTTCTGTCACCATCCCTATTTCAAATCTTTCATGTTAAGAGTTGGAACATCAATTTTATATATATATATATATATATTTTGTACATTAATGTCAAATTTTTGAAAACTCAATGTGTATTTTTTTTATACATTTACCCATTATTCACAAGTCAAACTGGATAAAATCATATTAGCAACAAAGCTCTTTCAATAAGTATTTAACAAAACTATATACCAAGATTCAAATTCAAGACCATTAATTAAGTTAGTACAACCTTTTATTAGTTGAGTTACATGTTTGTTGGTTCAATGTAATATTCCTACACTTACATTTATTAATTAAAGATTTTTCTTTTCAATTTTTTTATGTTAAAAGTTGAAACATTAATTATAAATATTTTTGCATATCAATGTTAAATTTCAAAAGACTACTGTTAAATTTCAGAGGTAATTGTTGCAAAAATTTGACACACATTTTTCGCAACTCAGCACTTATTACATATTTTGTTTTGAGTTCAAAATATAAGTAGTTTTTAAAGAAAAAAATTTTGTATACTAGTAAAATCCTAATTTTTATAAGAATATATATTATTTTTTTTTTTACCTTTAGTTCCAACTATCAATAGACTTCATGATAAGTGAAGGATAAATACAATAATTTAAGTTAATAAATAAAGGGTAAAATGGGGATTTTTCTTTTTTTGCATGTATTAGGTCACTTATATTTTGAACCAAGATTAGTTAGGGAAAATGTTTATATTTTGAACTGGAGGGAGTGATAATTTTTAACTCATTTTTTGAATTTTAACATAAATATTTTAAATAAAAGTTAATTAAGTAATTTATCTCATTGTTATGAACCTTTGGTCCTTTATTAAAATTTTGAAATTGTTTCGTATACTGAGACTGAGTGGTCATCAAATATTGGCCTTTCATTTTATCTTCAAATCTACTGTTTATAATTGATTTTGAAGTATTTTTAAAATTATATTTATTAAAATAAAAACTTATAAAAACTAATTCTAAATCTAGACTGTCTTTTCTACTCATCACTCTTGGGAATATTTGAATATTTTTATATTTAAATTATTTTATTTTATTTTATTTTTATCAAAATAAAAATTATAATTTTTTTAACAAAATTTTTTTGACACCAACCTACCCAATAACATATTTTTTTTTTTGGGGTAAAATCCTTATCAATAACATATTTAACATGGATAGTTTAATTTAATAATAATTTTTTTAAAAAAATTTATAAACTGACTATTCAAATATACTTTGATGATCTAGATTTAATATTAATTTTTTTATAATTTTTATAATTTTTACTTGGATAAATACAATTTTGAGCTTACCTAAAAATCAATTTAAAATAAAGAAAACGGTAGGAATCATTGAGTAAAACGAAGGCCCAATCTGATGAGCGCCCGCAGAGCATTGAATGCGGATGCAATTTCCCCTGGCCCAAATTGCATGCTTTTTCATTCGTTTATTATAAATTACATTGAAAAATTAAAATCCTGAATTCATATCTGGATAATCTTCACTGGTGTTTATTTATGAACTCTCTTCCCATATTTTTTTTTTACCCACATGAACAATATATCGTTGAAAGTAATTATATTCGATACAGAACACTAAATATTAACACATTTTTCAGCAAAAAATTTGAACATTAATTCCACAGGAATAGACTTAATTTCCATTGGTCTCTTTCTCCCTCCCTGTTTGAACTCGTCTTTAACTCTTAACTATACATATTTCTTTGAATGTTAATTCAAAAAGATAAAAAAAAACTACATATTTCTTTGAATGTTAATTCAAAAAGATAAAAAAAAACTTCACGTTTGTTGGCCGGGGCAAACAACAAGGTCAGAGAGCTTCAGAACAATGTCAGACCATGTGGCTTCTTCCATCAATCCATAGACTTATATTTAATGAAACTAGAACATATATTCGTAAAGAAAAACCATGTACAAACAGAAGCAAAGGAGGCCTATAGCCTTTCGGCATTCAATACCTCTCAATTTCAGACAAATGAAGGATTGGCTCAAAGCTTAAAAAACTGAGACAAATAAGATAATTATTAAACAGGAGCAGGAGGTTCTTATTTTCTTCATTCACCATCAGCCAGAGGAGCATTTTGATCTTTTCTGGTACTTGGAGCCTCCATATGAGCCGCCAGATATGATTAGGTCTGCCCTGTGTACATCAATTTTGATTTTTTTTCCTGGTATTTGGAATCTCCAATAGACTTTTTAACGCACAAAATCACATCAACAAATGATAATAACTAACAAACAAGCAGAATGAGAAAGATCAGGACGTTACCCTCGTAAGAATATGATTAGATGCAATTTATTCCTCGTACATAATTAACCTATCTCTTACAAACAGAATAATTAATTTGCGCAAAGATAATTTGAAAATGGACGTCTATAAACATATCTAAGTTCAAAATAGGCAACCGTTTATTTTCTTAATGCTGGCTATAAAAACCATATTCCTCTAATGCAACATAGCAAATCCATACTGCTAAAAATTAAAAACTACAGCAAAATTCTCGACTAATTATAAGATTTAATTAGCAAACATAAGATAACAACTAATGAATAGCATGCAAGTGTAAAGGCATGCTAGGAGTCACCGCCCTCTTGAAATTGCTTCATCCATCTCCCTCTGTGATGAAGGAAACAACTCAATGTAGCGACTTCCAAGTGTCATCCTGTCCTTCGCCATTGCTGATTTTGAATCATCTGCACTTGCAAATTCCACATAAGCTTCCCCAGAAGGTCTCCCTTCTGAATTCATCACAATATGAATAGAATCCTCTGACAGCACAAAATCCTTGAAGAACTCCATTATGTCATCCTTAGTGGCAGAAAATGGCAATCCTCTCAATCGCAAAACCCCAGTATGCTCGGCTGAATCTTTTCCTTCATCATAGGATTTAGCCTTTGAAGCACTTCGACGGGGTGACCCACCGCCACGGGCATCGGAAACCTCATTTGCAATTGCCTTGTAGTATTCCTGCCTCTTGCTTCTGAAAACCTCCACATATCTTCTACCCATGTTCTGCCGGTTTCTCTGAAGAGCAAAGTCAACTTGAAGGGGGTACCCGAGAACACAGAAACCCTCCCCAGTGAACTTGCCACCTTTATGAACAAAGAGGACATCAACTACATCAAGACCATGGAAGAACTCGACGACATCGGTTTCAGTGCAGTCAAAGGGGAGGCCACGCAGATGAACAACAGGAAAAGGAGGTTGATTGACATAGCCATATGGGGGTGGATTGTACATAAAACTGGAACCAGGAGAAGTCCCATAGAATGATGATCCTGGATCAACAATTCGTTGACGTTTTGCAGCCATTTCACGCCCATCACCACCATCAGCAAATTTACTGCATCATTCACACAACGGCCAAAACAGAATGCGAGAAACTCATTACTAAGCCAATGGGGGCAAAAAGAACCCAAAAAAAATTAAAAATCAAAGGATGAGAATTCCGTTCTTGAATCCTTCAAAAGCTAGCTATATCACAACATATTTGATCTTCCCCAGAAGAAACTTGCATAAGAGAATACAGCTGAATTATCTTTCAGGGAAATCTTGTTTCTTGATAACGCCAGAGATTTGTATCTTCTATCAACCCTGGCTTGTCATTATCCAGACCTTCTCTTATTTTACCCTATCCTTCCACCAATCTAGGTAGGTCCACTGTGTACAATTTCTATAACGACCAATATAAAGGCCACCCTATGAAGACTAATTTAATGGAAAAGTCAATTAATTAAAAGAAGTAATGAAAAATTGGCAATCACAAAAAGGATCAGATTGCACTTAATCATTGACAAGGGTAGTTCTATAAAATTCAAATTCAAATAATAATTACATTTAAAACTAAATATACATACATCTCGCTTTAACAACCTTATCAGAAATGCTAAATATTCTGATAAAATATTTAATTTCTTAGTAACTCTGTTGTACAAAACTGTAAGATTTTATTTTATTTGTTAATCAATATTATGCAAAACTTGATGAGGAAATAATTCTCCTAAATGCAACTCGCTTATAACAAATATTCCAGTTAGTCTTGTTCAAAAACTCTTGCAAAGATGAAAGTCTCTCTGCCAAGGGGCAGTTAAAGGCCACTCTGATTTGGTGGCTTTGGGTTCCATTATTAGATTAAAAAAAGCCAAAATATAAATGGAAGGTAGGTCTTTTGTGGTGCATTTCAGAAAAGGAAGCATGTGAAATCAAAAGTAAGTAGATAGGAAAATGTTCATGGTTGTTATGGCTTTCTCCTGGGGAAAAATTAAGAAAAGCATTTATCACTGAAGGTTTAAGGAAGAAACCCATAGGCATGCAAGAGTTGAGCATGTCAACAAAGAATATCCAAATATTAGTTTCAGCAACTAAGTTATTAATGAACTTGTTGATAATGAATCAGTATCATCCCGAATCAGATGTGATCATTGAATTCTCCAGAGAAAGAAAAACCCTCAATGATCAGCACGATTCAGCATCAATCACCCTTTGTTATGAATAGGTAAAAATCAAGGGAAATCTTTAACAGGAAAGTAATTCTGGAAATAATATAATACAATGATCCACCTATTCTTCCAGGTTACATTTAAGAACACATCTTATGACCAAGAAGTTTCTTCTCAATTCACAAGTTGAGCCAACTTAAATGATAACAGGGGCTATATTCCCTCACAGCATTCATTTAACAGCGTAATTGATGTCATCTCAAGCTAATCAATATAGCATACCTAGGACAAAACTTGTTTTCTTACCAAATATGCATAAAAGCCATAGAGTTCCAAGCCTAAATTGCTAAAGCTTCCCTTAAAACCACTGAGATAGTGCTTCCTTCTAAATTAACCCCGCTCATTTTTACAAATAAGACCTTGAAATAACTAAGGTCTTGACTGGGAGTTTTCAAGAGGGTGTGGTGGGGGTGAGGTGGCCTTGGGTGGGTGAGGCAACTACTCCGTTGATTGGAAATTTAATTAAAAATAGACAGATGGTTTAGTCTCCCAACTTCCCAACTCATTACACGATACAATGTCACTAACAGGGTGGAATGGGTCTGAAAGATAAAATTTCCAATATTATCATTGTGAGTTTAACCGCTCAAAAATAATAGACTAGGGGAGAAGATGAGAAAAGGAAATGAAATTTTATTAAGAACCCAAACCTAATCCCTCCCAAAAATTCAACACCAGAAGTTTATAGCTTAATAGACAAACGAATCCCAATTTTCAACACAGGAAGTTCTCAATCGATGAGACGAGGTTGCCTAAGAGAATCTGCCATAGAACTACAATCGATTACATTAACTGATGAAAACAACCCATGATTTGCACTGAAGAGGATGAGGAAATAAAAAGCCACAAACTTCATTAGAAAATCAAACAAACAAAAGGTGAAAATAGGAACTAAGCCTCTTACCCTCTGTAATACATTCTAAAAGATTATGTCAATGACCCTCTCAATCTTTTATTCACTGATTTGCATCGTACAGCTAGTCTCTGCGAAGATGATGGAATCAGAAAGTTACAAGTTCCAATTTCGAAGTTTCCACCAGGCGCTGATGATTGTGTCGCGTTTCTTCGTTTTGTTTATCAATCCTGCGAAACAAAACAAGGGCAGATAATATTCCTTCTTGGCTAGCCCGTTTTCGCAATTAACCTGATTTTGTTTTTGTTTTTTGCTTTTTTAAAAAGAAATCAATAGCAGAGCAAAACCTGCACTTCCACCACTGCTATTTCAGTACAAATCACATGCAACACAAATAATAAACACCATAAACCTATTAAAAAGTTCAAACATAATACAACTTACAACTTACAAACATATTTCTAAGACAATAACCTTCCCTCACATTACTTTTGCAGAATTCCAGACTGGGGTCTAAAGTGATACACAAATATATATTATTAATGAAGACTACTATAAACCAAGTATTGACAACTTACGGTTACAGAATAGAAAGACACACACAAAAGAAAAAAAAAATAAGATCAGCAACAATTTCCAAAAAGATGGTTTCAAGTAAAAGTCCTTCTATCAAATTGCAAATTTACTTCCCCCTCACTTCCGCATGAAGAACCTAACGAGAGCAAGCAAGCAAGAAGACAACCTTGCACCCTATAAAATTTATGATAAACATGTGAGGAGGCATATTAAAGCAAAGCCTTATATGATATGTACTTCATATCATCAAAATCACGGGTCAATCTAATTGCGAAAGGGCAGACAGACAAAACCGGAACATAAAACAAGGGGGCGACAAAGACGAACCTTCTTCGATTGCAAAGGGCGACGATGGATCGCGAGAAGGTGGAGAAGATCGAGATGCAGGCGCCGAGAAAGTCGGCAGAGAGGATAAAAGAGGGAGGAGCCGACGGGAACCCGAGGGTTTCTGCTTTTTTGTCTTGAGTTCCTTCGAGTTCGCACTTCGCAGAGGCAAAAATTTAACGGTGCAATGCGTGTGTGTGTATATATATATATATATATATAATTTCTCCTCAAAATATTATTACATCATGGTTTGAAAGTGTAAAATATTTTTAATTAATTTTTTTAATAAAATAATTATTTATTTTTAAATTAATTTTATATTTTTATATTTATGTTTTTTTAATAAAGTATTTCACCTTAAAATAAATATAAAGTAATTTATTTAATAAAAATATTTTTAAAAAAGATAATAATTATATCTTGAAAGATTAAAATTATTTTATATTGTTTAACATTTAACTCCTTAAAAACTATATTAAATTTTTGAAAGAAGGGAGTAACTGTTAAATTGAATTAAATAATTTAAATTTAATAATTTTTTAAAGAATAGATTAATTTTTATAAATAAAATTTAGAAAAAATGATAATTAGAAACCTCATAACAATATTAGTAACAACCATAGACTATGAATTATTAAAATTTTAATAAAAGATCATGATCCTTACTTATAATTAAAAAATGTAAATAATCAATTGAGAAATCAACAAAATATGCTTAAAATTATTTCTAATAAATGTTTCATCGCAAGTGTATATGCAATATATTAATGTATCAAGGATGATTCCACAAAGAATCAATTAAAATAGTGATTAGGTAATAAAATTTTCATTTTTATTTAAGTCAAGCAAAATTAATTGAAATTGATTAATTAACTAAAATTAAAAAGGGAGAATTACATATAGGTCCTATACAAAAAAATTAATTACTACAAGATTCATTAACAATGAACTAAGGCTAGTAGTTAATGGTCTTAATTCAATTATTAATGAACATTGTAGTAATTAATTTTTTTTTTGTGAAAACATAATTCTCCTAATTAAAAATTGAAGTTAATAAACTACAATGAAAATCTCAATCCAACACCCACGTACATTCAAGGCAACCTATAGCCATTAATCCGTTGCTAGCTTATAGATCTTGCTTTTACCTAGTTAATTAATTGTAATGCCAATTTCTAGAGTATTGGTAGCTATAAGTGCTTTTCAAATCTTAAATAGCCCTCTCCTAAATTAATTATGTTATTTCTAACAAAATTATTTAAGAGGTAAATTTAATTCCAACTCCCTCTAATTTGATCATATGAGGAACTTAGGTATAAATCTATCCTAATTGAAAATTAGGTAAAAATTTAATCTTATATTACTCAATCTAATGGTCCAAATGAGATTATCTTTTGTCAAACAAAAACCTCAACACCAATATTCATATTTAATTGTGGCCAAACATCAAGTAGATAATTACTTGCAAGATTGAGCAACTAAAATCAACATTAAACAAAACTAATGGGTAAAAAGCAAACTCTAATCCACCAACAAGTTAGGTCAAGCATAATCGGCCACTAACAGCCATTAAACCAGTAATATTCAACAAAAGATGCATCAAAATGTAAAGAAAAAGGAAGAAAAAAGTTTAAGAGGGATGATTTTTGTTACAAATCACAAGACCCAAATGTTCCTGAAGCTTCTCCAACTCTTTCTCCACCTTAGAATGCTTCATGGACGTGCAGCTATCGTCAAAAGACAAATTGGAATGAAAAATGGTCCTAAAAAACTCTTACAACTAAAATTAAGTAAAGCTATACGTTTTGCTAAAAATTGGTCTGATTCGCAACATCCAATTCAGTGTTGTAATATCACTAAGCAAAATTTAATTTATTATGAGCTCTGAAACTGTCAGCTTTAAGGTCATAAATTAGGCATCCTGATATGTATAACTCAAATTTAATTTAATATTATAATTAATCCAATAACTTCTATAATTATCTTAAACGTTATTTTCCTCCATTCACGCAAATAATAATCCATTTAATTATAAATTTGCTAAATAATTTTACAAGAGAACTTCCAATTACATTAAAAACTTCAATAAATTCATTAACATATTGGAAGTCATCAAACCCCCACACTTGAACATTAGCTTGTCCTTGAGCCAAAGAAAATCACTATACAAAATGAATAAAAGAAATTGTGAATATTGCAAAGTCAAATGCAATTCAAACTTTCAAAAACTTAATCTAACTAGAAACATTTCTCTCCTTCCAAAAATAAAAGCAACGAGGAAATTAATTAAGTAAAGATAATTTTCAACAAGTCCCTAAACAGTCAAGTGTTTGCAATCTAAGCGCTCAAGGTGTTTAAAGGTTAGTGTTTCACTCAATTCCATTAATTGCAAATCGTCTACCATAAGCTTGGTTCTCATCTTAATCTTCACTTAATTATGCCAATGCACACACAAATCAAAAAGACTTTTCAAAGGTTTTAATGTCTTAAGGTGTGGTGATGGAAATAAATTATTCAATGTGATAAAATTACAAACTCTAATTAATGCTAAGCATCTTAAATGATGAGCAAGAACATTGAAGACAAACCACAACTAATTACAAGAGGCATCAATGAGGATCAATATTTTTTGTCACTTGAAATCTTTTTTGTTGTTGTATTATTCAACATTTTTTGACTCTCAATCTTTTCTCTCCCTTCTTCTTCTCTCTCTCTCTCTGTTTTTTTTCTTTCAATTTCAATTTCTTATTTTCCTTTTATTTGTATCACTTTGAAACCCCAACTAAATTCTAGTTATTTTATTTTCTTTCATAAATGTAATACTTAGCATTTACCAAAATAGTTAATGGTAAGAAAAATGGATGATAAATGGATTAAACTTAGAGTGGGCTTATATATATATATATATATATACATATATATATATGTGTGTATATATATATATATATATAAGGCCAGGGTTTAAATGGGTGAAACAATAAATTTTTAGGAAACATAATGAATATTTGGCCAAACTAGCTAAGAAAATGAATGCCTAAATTATAGTTGTGTATATAAATGGCTATGATAAGTCTATAAGATTTAGCTTAAGCAACATAAATAGAATTAGAGGCCAATAAGCATTAGGTATTTATTAGCATTTCTAGCCCAAGGGGTGAACAATGAGGAGGAGTTAAAATCCAATGGAATAATTCAAGTACGCCATAAATCAAAGCACAAGAGAAATAAAGAACTAAATAAAATAAAAAAAAAGCCTATGTAGTGCTAGTTTAAGTGGCCTTCAGTAGCCATTAAATCTCTAGCATAGGAGAGAACATTGGATTAATCACTACTTGTAATGGAAGGTAACTATTGAGCTAGCACTTGTGTTAGCTGCTCATTTATCCTGTAGATTTTCATATCTCTTTGGGACCGTGCCTAAGATAAGAGAGAAATATATTATCAAATCAAATATTTAAGATATGCAAATTACATTCATACTATCAAGGGACAAACAAGCAGATTTACCATTAGAAACTTAGAATAAAGAACAAGCAACCAAAGCATTCCAAATTCACATATATCAATTCCCCAATTTCAGAAACAAAACAGTGCAGCAAAATAAAGCAACAATGTATCCTAAACTCAAACATTGGGCATGATCAAATTTTAGTTCAATAAACACATATTTGAGCACCAATTAGAAAGCTAGCATAAACTCACAATTGTGCAACAACAAAGTTACTCTAAACTCAACAAAAGTTTTCAAGAGTATAAAGAACAGTCAACAACATTAAGTAAATCCCACAAATCCTAACAATGTACAACTAACAAGAACAAGAACTCACTTATGCAAGTCATAAAGGAGGGCACTCAGGTATCATTACAAAGGAATACAAAGAAAGCACATATACAAAGTTGTTAATTCATGAAGAGGAAGAAGAACATCTTATGAACCAAAAATAAAAAACACTTAAAAAAATAAGATATAGCCTAAAATTTAAAAAGTGCTCACCCAACAAAAATTAAACCAGCTACAACATAACCAAAATCCTTAAAAAGTAAATAAATAGAATGGAGCAAAAGGGCAAGGGAGCATAAAATTAAAGGTTTCGGGGATAATAAAGCAAGAAAAAGGTAAACACGGCGGTGAAAGATAGTGGGAATGTTCCTAAAGAGGATGGGAAATACAAAATGAGAAAAAGTAAAACCCAGAGAAAACCTACTATAGTTGAAATGAAGATGATGGAGAAAAGCACTCATGATTAGCAACATCAAAAAATAGAGGCACTTTACAACAACAACAGGAATGGGGTTGGGTGAAAGTTTAAAACTATGATGCATAATAGTATGGAAGACGAGAGTGAAGGCGATAGTGTTGGATTTCTAAGTGGTGATTGGCAATGTGGTGAAGGAAAAACACACTATGAAGAAACGGTAGAGAGATTTGAGAAGGGAAGAAGTGCTGACAATGATGCTGAGATGGTGAGTACGAGATTAACACAAAGTAGGGCATTATATGGTAGGCACTATTTAGCAAAGTTGATAGTAAAGGAGAAGCTTGATAGTGAATGAGACATTACGGTAAAGGATGGTGTGGAGGATAATGAAAACTAAATTGGTAGAAGGCGGTGGTGAATTGTGGAGGAAGGTGAAGGCGGCAATGGGAAATAGTGAAAATGAGAGAAAGGAATAGGGTTTCAAATGGAAGAGAAAAAAATTACACCAACAATTTATTTTTTATTTTTAAATGTATTTAGTTAAATTACAAATTAGATAAAAGAAATATTGAGACCTTTTTTTTAAGAAATGGTATTTAATTAAAAGAAACTAAAATCAGATAAAGGACACATTGTTTTTTAAAATTTTGAAAATTTGAAATTTGAATTAAAATTAAAATTCTTTTATTATTATCATTTTTTATTGCAATAATAGCTTCCATAAATTGTCCCAAGATCAATAGTGTCGTGACATTATAACATTATGCTGCAAGAGTGTCGCAGCATCCATGCTCTGGGTGTCAGGAGGGATCAGAATGCACAAGGAATGTTGTAGCACTCCCACAACACATTGCAACAATGTCGTGGCACTATTGCTCTTGGAATCTAACTTGGAGCTTTGCTAATGCTAGATTTCACAGCACTCATTTGGACACAAAATGGGATGTCATAATATCAACGTACAAAAATGCAT